AAGTAATAGTGTTCTCACTGTTCTTCCTCGGTAACTTGAACTTATGACCGATAGCTCATAGGTGATAAGGTGAAACGTCTTACGACCAAGCTATGCTTCGTTGTCAAGGCGGGGCACTCGGCATTAGTCTGTTAGTTGTCAGCCTCTTTCTCCTGAGAATGTTTGGGGTCTAGGAAGAACTTCGTCTTTGTATGAGGCTCGGGAGCTCTCTTTTTCGAGCCAGAGCTCCCCCAAATCCCTGTCAAGCTGATGACTTCGTTGCGAGGTCAGACCCCTCTGTCACAACCTCGGTGGTCGCGGTCTTCTCGACCTTAGAATCCCCCAAGTGCGGGGTCGACCGTCACAGTAAAGACGAACAGTTGAGGAGATTTGATCACAGATGTCTCCCCTGTTGGCAATTTATTTTTCACCTCGAACCTCTTGGGATACCTATCTGCAAAATTTATAAGTGTCAGAACGACATAAATAAGTATAAAGCCAAGCAAATAAGTTGTACGGGCGAACGACCTACCAACGTCCAAAACAAATGGAACATCATTTTTATTGGCCAGCCCACACTGATGCCACAATGTCGAGTCGCCAGTGATCTATCGGGCACTCCACGTAATCTTATTTAAAGAAGAAACCATTTTCGCGAGCTGAACAGATTGTGGTTTATTTCTTTGGAAAACTTTTTCGGTTATCCAAGAGTTAGTAAAACAATAGTAACTAGAGGGAGATCGCACGAAAAATAATTTGGTTTTTCAAGACATGACGTTAGACGACAAGTCTTCAAAGAATTTGGCTCCACTACGAGCTTCGAGGTAGTGGGTGACTTTTTGAAACTACAACCATAACAATAAAAGAACAACTCAGGAGAAAACTCATAGAGTTTTATTTTGAATATAATAATAAAAGAAACTATGATGTTAATAGCATTGGGAGAAACCTGGCTAATATAAACACTGTACAAGTTACTAAGGGTTATTAACTCATAGCGAATAGGAAAGCGAACACCAAAAAGAACTTGGTCGACGAAAAAAATGGTAAAAGCTCTCAGGAGGGATGGAATAAGTGTTTGTAGGGCGAGGGACTCGTAACTCCCAGTCTTTGGGCAGCTCGCGATAAGTTCGGAAACCATCAACCTCCGCTGCAGAGGCATAGCAGACGAGATTCATAACTGGTTTAACTGGAATAATAACAAGTATGAATGGGTCGACCGAGCGGTTGAGCGGCCTATTTCTTATAAAGACAACCCGAAGGCCGTCTAGAGGAGACCGGACGACGAGAAGTACACAAACGACCTGGAGGCATTGGAATGGTTAAAAGCACTCAGATGAGCTACATGCCCTTCAGACGACCTAAAGTGAGTCCAATGAACCAGCTCGACTTGACGACTTGTAGAGAGTCATGACGACCTAATGATATACAGGTGATAAGAAGTAATCTAATGATGACTAGAATGTGATTAGGATGAGAATGAACACTAAGTAGATAAGATCAACCCTGGGAAGCTGGACCGTCTAACAGCGAGAAACTCGGGCAGGCGAACAGGGCAACTCGGGCAATCCAGGCAGTAGGTACTTCCTATAAAAAGGGGTTGAGGAACACCTGAAATACCCTACAGCTCCGTTTGTTTTGAGGGGTTTGAAATCCATAGATTTCAAATTTACAAGTTCAAAAGTTCATGCATGTTGGGATGATAATGGAAATTGGAGGATTTCAAAGTCATGCTAAATATTTTTTAGTCATTATTTTGAAGGATTTGAAATGACTCCTCAAACCTATTCATTTGAAATTCACTGTTTATCACCGTTGACGACCACGCCGTCCGCGATCATTTAGGTTCATCATCACCGCGAGTCAACACTATCGGTGAGAGTTAGACAATTTATTTATAATATTTTCAACACATCCATTCAATGAGTGTGCAAGTAAAAAAAATTATATTTCAAAAATTTTGAAATCAGGGAATCTCAAATCCCTCAAAACAAACGGAGCCTACATTCTTTCTATACTTTATCTACTCTACAGAGCATTTATCATCTTTTTTCATGTACTAACTTGAGCGTCAGAGAGCTAATGCCGGAAGACTCTCTCGACAGGTCATCTTCAGCAATTCATGTAGATCGAAGCTCATAATTAGATGGGTCAACCCAGAACCAAGTCGCCGGCTCATCAAATATTATATATAAAAAAAAAATTATTTCATAAAGAAACCATTAATCAAAAGTATAACGAGCTTTTAAATAATTTGGATAGACCTTTATGATTCGTTTAAACAGAAATACTATGAAGCCAATGGTTGACTCCTTTATGGAGCCAACCACCATGTGAAAAAATAAATAATTTTACATTACCTGCGTGACATTATAACATTGGTGGTTGGCTCCATAAAGGAGCCAACTATTGGTTCCATAGCATTTCTCTTCATTTAAATCTCATTTATTGGTGCATCGTGCATATAATGGTTCATCTGCATGTTCTTGTATTCTATCCACGTGTCTCGATTTTATTGGCCAGAATGGAACCTAATCACACCTGTCAAGACTCCCGCAGTTGATTGGCTGAGAGCGTTTTCAAAGTCGGATAAGGCGTTTTCTACATCACACGATGGCTTGAAACACTTATCCTGAATTTCCCTTATTTCAATCTCGGAATCTCCAACAATTTTTCTGATTTTGATCGAAAAAGAAAGCGAAAAACAAAGAAAGAAAGATCAGCTCAACAGCCATGGCATCAATGGGTTGCCTGCAGCGCGGCTCTTCTCAACCCGTCCTCGACGGCAGCCTCCGATCGAGCCGCTTGAGCAGAACCAACGCCGCCAGAATCTGCCTGTCCAGGCTAGGGCTTAGGGTTCGAGCCCAACAGCAGCCGAGCTCAGCCGAGACCGAGCCGTCACGCCGAGCTATGCTGGGGCTTGTTGCTTCCGGGATTGCATCTGTTTCCTTTGTTCAAGCCGTGCTGGCTGAAGCCAAGCCGATCAAGATTGGACCGCCGCCCCCACCCTCCGGTGGACTGCGTAAGTAGTACTATTTTATTTTCACGAACTCTTGTATTACACAATTAATGGTTAGATGTTTATTATATTATTAAATGTTACACTCTGCTTACTTTGCTTTCTAAAATAACTGTTTTAATTGAAATATGCATATTTGTGAAAAAATAAAAATAAAAATGTATGTATTGGTTTAATAGTTCGACCAAGCAAATAGAAGACCTACAATTTAATTTTTGCTATTTATTTTTTGTAGTTGCTTAAATTATCTTTTCACACTGCTATAAAATATGAATAATGTGGCTTCAATCCTACATGATTGCTCATATTCTGATCCAAATACAGGACTGATTCAATTTTTGCAATTACAGTTTTCGAGATTATGGAAGTTCGTTGAAGGTTTTTCGTGATTCGTTATATAATTAATTCGTGATAAGTGTAATGTATAATGCATGACCAATTAACAGCTGGAACTTTGAACTCGGATGAGGCGAGAGACTTTAATCTACCCCTCAAGGATCGGTTTTACCTTCAGCCAAAGACACCAGCTGAGGCTGCTGCTCGGGCCAAGGAGTCCGCTAAGGAGATATTTGCCGTGAAGGCCCAAATTGATAAGAAGGCCTGGCCTTATGTCCAAAACGACCTTCGTTTGAGGGCTGAGTACCTTCGTTACGACCTCAACACCGTTATTTCGGCTAAGCCCAAAGAGGAGAAGAAAGCCCTCAAGGACTTGTCTGCTAAGCTCTTCCAGACAATCAGCAATGTCAGTGGCTAATAAGTGAATATTTCCATTTATGTTTGCATTTGGTAGAGTTACGAAAAATGAGGTTTGGGGTAATTTACGAAATGATTGGCGCCAGGTTCGAAATTTGCAGAGGAGCTCTTGAAGTTTGCTTGTCTTAAATCTAAGGCGATCGTTGTAGAGTTTGATTCCTTTTCTATTTTTTTATATGAGAACTAACGAGTAATTCTTTTTTAACTATTTTTATCAGCTCGACCATGCCGCGAAGATCAAGAGCAGCCAAGAGGCCGAAAAATACTACGCTGAAACAGTGTCGGCTCTGAATGATGTCTTGTCCAAGCTTGGTTAGAAAGATGTTTGAACAAATGGTGTGTAAGTTTTTGTTGTTCTCTTTCACAACATGGAAATTTGTTCAAACAGTTTTCTGTTGTTCTTTTGTTTAAAGAAAAAAACCCCGATTCATTTGAAAATTTTCAGTCTGTGTTGAAAGTTTCCCACACAAGAGTCTATGCATGTGAGTTTGCTTGCTGTTTCGACTTTTGAAACTTTCCGAAACAACTTCGATGAAACTTTATTGAAATGCAATCCGAAATCGTAGAATGAAATCAAAGGAATAACGAACAATAACGACTTGGAAAATTAACGTCTGCAAACAAACATAAAGTCATAACGGCTAACGGCTAACACAACATGAGACGAGCCCTATACCTCTCGAGCATTGTGTCCGGTACCATGCCTTGAAAACCGATCAAGCTCGGCTTGTAAGGGTAAACTTTGGTCGAGGCAGCCAAATTCGGCGCCTCCCGAACATCCTTCATCTCGCCCGTCTCCATATCATACGTGAATATTTTGCTTCCCTTCATCCAAAACCATATCTTCCCTTCCCTCGCAAACAACGGGACAAACTCGTCATTATTCCCTTCCTTAAAAAACGGGAGCCCAACAATCCTCTTCTCCCGACACCAAATCCCCCTCTCGTAATCCGTCAGCTCCATCACCTCCAAATTGGGCCCCACAACATCTGCAATCGCAAGCTTCCCGGCCCAGTCCATATCCCAATAGTTCCTCCACCTCGTATCGGGCCGGCCCAATTTCCCAAAACAGCTAATAGAAAACTTCTCTGTCTCCAGGTTGAGTGAAATTAGGGTTTCGGGCCTGGCCCGATTGAAGAAAACGCAATGCACGGCCTCTCCCGACACGATAACCGAGATTCTCTCACGCTTCCGAAGGGCTCCCGGGACATTTAGAGGTTTCCACGGGCCGGGCAGGCCGGGGGTGAGAATCTCGCACCCGTCAAAGCCCGTTTTCGGGTCGAGGTAAAACGAGACGACCCTGTAGCTTTGGGTGGCCCGAACGAAGGCGAGGGAGAGCCCGTAGCTGCCCTCGTGCGGGCTGGGCAGCTCGAGGGCCCGTTTAGTGGCTGGGTTCCAGAGGTAGTGAATGTTCTTGGTGGTGTTCTTCAAGATGAGAAGGCCGTCGAGGCCGGCTGTTAACAAGTACGTTTCGCGGGCCGTTTGGGCCTGGGCCTGGGTGGGCTGGATGTTGAACCAGTGGTAGGTGAACCGGGTGTGGGCCATGTGCCGGTTCATGAAGTAGTGGTTTTGGATGAGGGACTGCCAGTGCTTGGAGACGAGCTGGAGACGGGCTGCGTCCTTTATGGGCAAGCGGCTCAGGATCTCGACGGTGACACCTGGCGGGAAGAGAGGGGCCGGCGGGTCGGGTTTTGGGGTCTGTGGGCCCGGGTCGGGCGAGTTGGGTGCCTTGTTTGCCATCGCCAGTCGAGTTTTTCAAGCTGTTGATTGGCAAATGCATAAACATGAAAAAAGTACAAAAGTGATCTAAATGGCTGATGCAAATTTTGGGAGTGTCAGACATATTATCATAAGGAAAACAAATAAACAGAGAATAAGTTAAAGGGAATAAACGGACAAACACATAGTAAGAAGTAAGAATCAAATAACATAGGCAGAAAAGTAATAATACTGTTAATAGAGGAGAGCGAGCATGATCATGATGAATGATGGGTGAGGAGAGTGTGGAGATCGCAGGACTTCTGATTTGATACTGATTTTGAGGAATATTTGGCTTTGGAACGGAAGGTTTAAATCTCTGGGATTCTACTCAACTTTTTTTTTTTTTTAATTAATCTTATAAATAAATATTGTTCATATTTTCGATCAAAATCCACTGAATAACTATGATATGTGTATAAAGTGATATGTGTAAAACTGTGACGTTAACGTTGAATCAAGAAACATGATTATGATATCGAAAATATCATCTTATTAGAAGATATTGAATTAAATTTGGTCCAAGTAACATAAAGTAAATCAAATAATTCGTTAAAATTCGAACTTACCTTCAATATCCATTATTCATGATTTGGGTTTTATTCATTTCCTTAAAAATATTTTTTGAGATTTCAAGAATCTTGATATATTTTATGATGTACCAGTTTAAAATTTTAATTAAGAAGTCTTAGAAAGTATGAGATAAATTTTAGATTATAAAAAGTTATAAAAAGACACGATATATTTATTTGAGATTTTAAAAAAATTTTAAATGTCATTAATTTTTAATTTATTTATCACTTTTATTTGTTGTGACTTTCAATACCCCATGGTTTGATTGAATATGAAAAATTCCGGTGTTTTTGTTTTTATTAGATTAAAAGAGTTAGATTGAAAAAGTTTGATTGAGTGGAAATTTGGATTTAGTTTTGAGTATGAGGATGAATATGAGTTAAATGTAATGATTAAGGTTAAATTAGTAAAATAATGATTATGAGTGTAAAAAATGTGAATTGATTAATAGTAATTTTGTTGAAAAGTGTGTAATAATAATATTATTTAACTATATTGATAAGATTAAAGAGAATTAAGTTAGATTAAATTAATTTTGGATTTATTTTTTTTTCAAACGACAAACACTTATATAAATAGAAAACTCGAAAAGAGTATAGAGTTAATGTCAACTGACACCAAGGAATCCGATAACTAGACCTACCCTCTTGAAATTCTAGAGGAATCCAAGATTTACGAGAAATGCTACGGTCTGGTTACAAACCTCGACGAAATGATTCCGTACATCTCCCCAAATTTATAATTAGAAATTTTCTCTCTATAAGTTTCGAGTTAGCATCTTATACGAGCTATCTCATTGATAGAGGAGATTTGCGTTTATACACCACAATTTTCTGGTGACCAACGTCAGGTTGCCTCGTCGAAGAAAAAATAAATAAATAAATAAATAAAAAAATTACAATTTTCATTAGAAAAAAAAAAGGAGCGCATTCCAAAAACAGAGCACGGATGCTTCCAGAAGGCACTCAAGCTTTCCCATTTATGTTCATTCTTGATTTTTCTTTACAACTCTGAATTGTTCCTTATCCAATTGCTTTCATGCTCGACTGCTCGTGCATATCATTTCTTCCTCAGCTCAATAAAATTTCTCTCTGAGAATCAAAAGAAGAAAAATGGCAGCTTACCGATGGAAGAGTTTCTTTGAAGACGAGGATCGTCCGGAGAAGCCCAGGAGCTTCGGCGTCACCGAGATGAGAGGACCTCATTATACCCTTTTCTCCCAGAATCTTCTTCAGGTATCCGTATTTTTCTACCTTTCTCCTTTATTTATGATGTTGGGTTAATTGGGGATTAGCTTTCGTCCTTCTAAAGATTGCATTTTGCGTCATGGGTTCTTCTCTTTTTTGTTCTATCTTTTCTTTTGCTGTAACATAAGCCACTGCAAGGTATTTTCTTGCAGCGTATTGAACTTCTATAGCTAGATTTGTAAGTTTGTTTCTTCATTTTTTTTTTTTTTATAATTGCCTGCCATCAGCTTAAAGTAGCTATTACAGAAAGATGAGTGAAAATTAATCAGCTTAGTGGTGCAGCTTCGATTTGTGGGCTGTCTGTTTCAAATGTTCTTATTGACATAAATTGTGCAGGAAGTGTTCGATTCTATGGGACAGTTTGTTGATGGGTTGAAATTTTCCGGAGGTTCTCACAGCTTGATGCCCAAAAGCTACATTGAGGAAGTAATTAAAATGGCACATAAGCATAATGTGTATGTTAGCACTGGTGGCTGGGCCGAGCACTTACTTCGTAAAGGCCCTTCTGCTTTTAAAGACTATATTGAGGTGGGAAGAGAACCAAATTATTCTCACACTTTGTTAATGATCTTTTTTTTTCTACAACAACAATAACAACAACATACCCAGTATATTCCCAACAGGTTGGGGTCTGGGGGGTCAATTGTACGTAGACCTTACCCTTGTAATTATACAAGGAGACTGTTTCCGTAGCGACCCAAGGTGCATTGCGCCTTTTGATATATTTTTTTCTTTTCTAGAAACTTTACTAATAGAAGAAGCACTAGAATTTAATTGAGCCATTTTGATCTAGTCCATTATTAGCATTATGCCAGAAAAATTGTCAACAATGACTCTTCCAACTCCATTTGCAATGTACATAATGATCTTTTTTTTTTTTTTCTAAAGCAAACATTTTGTTTTTATGATTTCTTGTAGGAATGTAAGAAATTGGGGTTCGACACTATTGAGATAGATGCCAGTTTGCTCGGTATCCCTGAGGATGTTCTGTTGAGATATGTGAGGCTGGTTAAGAATAGGGGTCTTAGAGCTAAGCCTTTATTTGCTGTCAAATTCAATAAATCAGATATACCAGTGAAAAGTGATCGAGTGTTTGGATCTTACGTGGTCCCAAAACCCCGGTCTTCAGGTGAGCTTCATTTTTCCATGGGATGAAGTTAAAAATTTAAAAAAGATAAAAGGAAAAGAAAAAAAAAATCTGTAATGATATACCGAAGGTTTTAATTTTGTTTTGCCTATGTTGCAGAGCTTGTTGAGGATGTTGATCTTCTGATTAGAAGAGCTGAGAGATGCCTCGAAGCTGGAGCAGACATGATAATGATTGATGCTGACGATGTCTGTAGGCAAGCCGACTCTATGAGGGCCGATATTATAGCCAAAGTCGTGGGTCGTTTAGGTCTCGAGAAGACAATGTTTGAGGCATCAAATCCAAAAACTTCCGAGTGGTTCATCAAACAATATGGTCCTAGGGTAAAGGCTTATCTTTTTTCTGTCCCTTTTGTTATGTGACTTTATTTTACTTCAAAAAAATTAAAATTCTATTTTGTTTGTGAATTAGGTAAATCTCTTTGTGGATCATTCTCATGTGATGGATTTGGAGTGTCTCCGTGGGAGTAACCTGGGTAAAGATCATTCGTCTGTTCTTGGTTCGTCGTATTTTCTCTTTTAAGCTTATGTGGTGTTAAAAGAGGGATATAAGTTCCCAGCTGGAAAATAATAAAAATTTGGTGAACTTTAATATTTCTTTTAATCAATTTGTATCGTGTTGAATGTGTGTTGGGAGTATGGTTGACTGGGTTGTATATACATCCTGCAGTTTGTATGCATGTTGTGTACGAAGATAATGTGTTCATAACTTCATATCAGCCTATAATCTGTTTCCCACTGTTTTTTTTTAATATATTAACTTTTGGTGTCAACGATCTGCTGCTGTCTGGTCTGATTATATTCATCAAGTATCGAGTATCTTATTAATCACATTAACAAATGAAACTAGGTTGTTTAAGTGTGAAATTCGTTAGTTGCTCGTGCATTTTGCTTGTGGTGTCCACATGTGTAGCTTCGAAAGTCGAAACATGTGGATTGAGCCGCCAGATTTATACATCTATACACACCTGTACAGATATGTGTGATTGTGTGCAATCCAACGACGAAATCTTTTGTGGGGATACTACGCATGGGTAGGGCTGGATGTGTCGTTTATGACAACGAAATAATAGTACACAAATGGAGGAGTAGTTTAACATGTATTGTATACGCTTAATGGCATGATTTGTCGGAAAGAATGACATGAGAATAAAATGATCATTTCCTTACTCATTCCTTATCCCATGATTGGTTTGGGAAAGGAATGACCATTTTAATGGGAATGTTAAAACTCATCTCCATGGGATTAACCATTCCATAATAAATGGAAGGTTTTTTCATTTTCATGTGTGTAGGAATCAATATTTTAAAAAATAAAATTAACAAATAATAATAAAAAATAAATATATATTATATATTATAATCATGATTAAAATATATTGAATAAAATTATTATAAAAAATAAAATTCAAATAAAAAAATTAAAAACTTACTTTTATTTATTTTTTAATTAGATATATTAAATACTTATATAAAAATAAAACTAAAAAAATGTATTTATATATAATTTAAAATGTATTATTTTGTTTTTATATATTATTAAAAATATATTATTTGTTATATATTAAAAATATACTATTACTTTTAAAAATATATTATTAAAAATATATTATATGTATTATTAAAAATATATTACTTTTTATTTTTAAATTTATTAAAAATATATTATTTTAAAAAATAAAATTCAAATAAAAAATTGAAAACTTACTTTTATTTATTTTTTAATTATTAAAAATATATATATATATATTATTAAAAATATATTACTTTTTATTTTTATATATTATTAAAAATATATTATTGTGGAAGATCGATGCAATTGAGAACGGGCCGATCAAAGACTAGGTTTGGCTTCTTCGCTTGCAGCTGGTTCCAGAAATGCCTTCTCCATGGCGAACACCTATTCGTGGAAGAAGTGTTGTTGTTGTGAATAAGGTGGATCTTTCTCATTACTAATGGAATCCAAATCATCTCTGGATTGATCAGAAAGACACCGTAGGACAATTGAAGGAATGTGGCGCAGCTTGGTAGCGCGTTTATTTTGGGTACAAAATGTCACGGGTTCAAATCCTGTCATCCTACCTATTGACCTTGGTTGATGAGTCGGAGAATCAACTTAAAAATATTATTGTAGATATATTAAATATTTATATAAAAATAAAACCAAAAAAAGTTTTTATATATAATTTAAAAATATATTATTTTATTTTTATATATTATTAAAAGTATATTATTTTATTTTTATATATTATTAAAAAAGCATTTATATATAATTTATTAAAAGTATATTATTTTTTAAAAAAAACTTTTATTTATTTTTATAATAAATGATAATGTCATTCTATTCAAGTCTTATTCCTTCTGCATACCAAACACATCAATGACGAAACTTTTTTCATTCCATTTCCATAATCATTCCATTCTTCTATTTATTCAATTCTTATGAAATTTCATTCCATTATGCCAATTATGCCATTAGTGATTAAGAATATATATTATTTTTAAAATATTCATTTGGAATTTCTAAAGACTTTTTAAGACTTCAGAAATCTTGGTGTATTTGGTTTAGAAATATAAGACTTTTAAAAGTCTTGAGGTATTCATTTGAGATTTTATTAAAAAGTTCTACAAAATTTTGAAGTATTTAACTTATTTGACACTATGATTAGTTTAGACTTTTTAAGATTTGTTGGGATTTCTAAAGAAAAAAACATGTATGAAATCCACTATAAGTTCTGCCTCCATATGTAAGATTTCACAACATTCTTTTTTCTAAAGAAAAAAACATGTATGAAATCTCACTACAAGTCCTGCCTCCATACTTAAGATTTCACAACATTCTTCTTAAATTTGAAAATCTTAAAAAGTCTTGAATTTCAAAAAAGTTTCAAAATATTACTTGAAATCACAAACGAGTACACTCCTAAGATCATCTGAAATGATATTGATTTGACTCTACATCTGAAAAATTAAACTATGACCGATAACAGTAGTTTATTTGCAATCTTAGTCTATGCGTAGTATAATTACAAGAATAACAAAAAAAAAGAATAAAATCGGTGAGATATATAAAAATAAAAATAATGTTTTCCAACGTGTTATGCATGGTTTTTAATTTTTGAACATAAATTATTTTTTGGGTAAAATAAAATGTATTCAAATGCATTATGATTATAAATTCATATAAATAAAATCACGCGCGTAAAGATATATATATATATATATATATATTCAGGTTTTCGATCGACTTTGTGTTGCAGGGTAAGGGGGTTTCTTTGGTGTTACTGTTGTACCGAAGTCGGTGATTTTTAAAATGAGACTTTGTTTTTCCCATTTGTTTTTAGAGACCGAGGTTGCAAGGAGAGTGTGAGAGTTTTTTTCTCACAGCGCAACAATTTAGATACGTTCCTTGTCTAATCATGTGGTTCATCTGGTCAGAGAACAATAATGTGAAACATAAAGATATATTACTTTTATGTGCTCTCACATTGTTTTGCAGGTTGATCGACATCTATCCCTCCTCACAGCTCTTGGCAGACTCACGCCTAGAGACTGGACAGGTTGCATGTCGCCCTATCGCTTCATGCCATCTCCGCTGCCGCATGTCCAACACCCACACCCCAAAGCCGTTGTTTGGCTGAGACTCGACTCCTCTTAAGCGGAACACTGGCGGATCTTTCGACTGACACACCGGAGGCGTCGGAGGCGGGGGCCTGATTAGGGATCACAGCAGAGCTCTCATTACCGTCTTCCACGCTTTCTTCAGGCCTACGCAGAGGTTCAGACTAGGGCTGCAAACGAGTCGAGCGGCTCACGAGCCGCCCGCGAGCGCTCGAGTCAAAGCTCGACTCAAGCTCGAGTTTGACCGAACTCGAGTCGAGCTCGAGCCCATATTTTGCCTTGTCGAGCGGCTCGATATATATTAAATTACTAAAATACCCCTTATATATATTTAAATCGTAAAACACAAGTGCTTAATGGTACTTTCACTTAAAAAATTTCGAGCCGAACTCGAGTCGAGCTCGAGCATTTGATTTCGAGTCGAGCTCGAACTGAGCTCGAGCTTTTGTATTTTCTTATCGAGTCGAGCTCGAGCCTCATAAATCGAGCTCGACGATCTCGAGCTCGAGCATCTAAAAAAAAAAATCAATCCCTGCTCGATAAGGCCAATGTTCGACTCGGCTCGGCTCGGCTCGTTTGCAGCCTTAGTTCAGACACTTCAAATTGGTCTTCAGATTGCAGCCTCTATCTCTACTCACATTTGGATTGAGCTGGATGCTGTCGCTATCGCCACCCTCTTGATCTCGGGCCACCAGAGCTCGTGGCAGATTCAGCACCCGCTCATGCGCATCAGATCCACACTTTAGTCTGTTTACTGCCGGATCTCGCAAATCTTTCGCGAGGGGAACCGACCCGCTGACTACCCGGCCAACCTCGGTGCCTCCACTCCCCAGAGCCCCCCCTTTCCACTCGGACGACGCTCCTCTCCGCCTCCATACTATTGTGCGAATGGACAAAGTTGGCTACCTCTCGTTCAAATTTCAGTAGCCATTCTATATTTTTTGTGGTTTAGCCCACTTTGTGGTGCAGACTGCTCACGTGGGCACTTGTTAGTCCAGGTTCAGGCTTTTCGTTTTGTTTGTTATTTTTTTATTTTTTTTTTCTTCGTTTTTGTTTTTGTTTGTTATTTGGACATATGTAGACCTGTGATTTTTTCGGCCTAAGTAGAGTCTTAACTATATATATGGTGATGATACGACCTTAATCCCCCACCCTTCCATTACATGTTGTAAATTTTAATTTTCACCATTTGTAGGTAAGGGTTTTTGGCCCTCCATGAACAGCGAAATAATCGTGACAAGAAAATGAACAGTGAAATAACCGTGACAAGAAAAATACAAAAGGACCTAATAATTGTTACAAAAAGAATCGAAAACGCTCGTCAATTATTGAACATATAAGAAAAATAAAAAATAAATTAATAAACTAGTGAAAGTAAATAATAAACTAGTGAACGTACAACACGAAAATAGAAAAGAGAATGAATAAATAAGCAGCCTTTTAAAGTACAACACCTTGAAGCGTTATTTGCTCTAGATTTGCCCGTGGGCGCTACGCAAAAAATCTCTAGTTCTTAGCACTTTTTCTACCAAACCTTCTTTCGAAGGTTAAAAACTTAAAATTGCTCAACATTATTAAGCTGGCATAATCTGTTGTATATATATTAAATTCGATTTTAATTTTATCGGATAGTTTGGTTAGAAAAAAAAAAAAAAAAAAAAATTAGGAGAGAATGTCGAAGAAGAAGGCGACGATGACCTTGAAGGACTTCCATGGCGGCTCTATTCCTTCTGATCTTCGTCTGCCATCTGCGCCTGGCGTGTGAGTCTCTTTCCTAATTTACCTGTTTAGATCGTGAATGAATGAGTTCGGCGTAAATGTTATCTTCTGAAGCTAATCTGATTGTTTGAATTTGACTCTCGTTTGGCTCGTTTTGATAAATCTATTCATGATTGAAATGTTTATTGTTTATTGTGGTGTTATGAAAGGGTGTTGTTAATTTACATCTTCCATGGAAAAGAGAGTTCCAGTTTTTTTCAGATGGGGATTTGTGAATGAGGCATTAGATTTATTTACATCAATAACCTAGATCTGATTCTTCGAGATATACCCGATTTGGATCTCTGGCAGCTGAACCTTAATAATACTTCTACCTTATCCTATCATTCATTCGTATTTTGTGATTTTGTCTATGCTTCTGTGTGCTCTATAGGGTTGCAGAGTGAACTCCACCAATCGAAATATCGAATATTGATAGGTGGTGAGATTCCAAAATAGTCTCATTTTTTATTTTATTTTTTGTTAATTGGCAGAAGCATGAGGCCCGTAGATCGTTCTGGATTCGATCGGCAGATGTCATGGGGTAGTTCAGCAGGAAGGCCTGAGCACCGAGCCCGGCCTGCCTCTGCCGGTTCAATTAGGAACCTTGACGAAAAGGCTCCATTCATGAGCTATGGTCCTCATATAGGCCGCAATTTTGATGAAGACGAGCGAAAGCCTTTAGAAGGGCCATCAGGCCAGCGTCGACCTATACTTGATGAAAATGTCCATCCTCAGCTCAGCCACCCTGTGGAAACTAAAGTTGGTAGCCAAGCTGCTTCAACTCCTGCTACATCTTATGCTGGGAGGGTTAGTGAAGTCCCGAAAATGAGGTCTAACAGTCAAACTTCTAGCGGCAACAGCAGTTATGGGTCGAATGATCCGGTCATTGGCAGTAATTCCGGGCAGGCAGCGGCTGGATCGTACCCAAATGCTTGGGGAATAAGGAAAGAGGCTGCCGGAATAAAAGAGCACGTTCCTTCTGCATGGTCAGCTCCTGATGCTGAGACTAAATTGGCCCACGCGAGTGCTCTAGAGAAGATCTCGTCTGGCAGGTGGAACTCCAAACAGCATGTTCATTTTCCAAAAGATACCGAGGTTTCTGTGCATGAGGAGAAAGCCTACAGTGTGAAAACACAGGATAGGCCGGAAGTGTTGGGTAGCCCGGGCTATGGAAAAGAAGTGCCATCTCACGATAGGGTTAGATCCACTTCTCGCATGGATTCGTTCGAGAGGAACATGTCAGTTGCTGTGAACGGGCCACCGTCGGTAGTGCCTTCAGAATCATCTGAACGGCCAAAATTGAAATTACTCCCAAGATCTAAACCGATTGAGAATGTGGAGCTGCCGACTGATTATTATAAGCAGGTATGTTTGAAAAGTTAGGTTCCTTTATTTTTCTTATCCGAGTTCATATAAGTTTTAATCTGCTGTTGCTGTGTTGGATCATTGCTCATGATTCTGGAGTTCCATTTTTGCAATCAGACTAGTAATCCGTCTCCTGTGGAGGATAGCTATGCTGTACATGAGCCTAAAATTTCCTTACACTCTGGTGCTGCTGGACCGGTGGTTGACGATCGAGCCCCAGAGCGTGCAAAACTGAATTTGAAGCCACGATCGCAGACTACTGAGCAACCGGAAGGAAACAATGAATCCAAAAGGTCCATGGATCCAAAATTATGCCTTTAGCTTGTTTATTAGTTGTTTCCTTCTCCATGTAATTGCTGATAAAAAATATTCTCTTATGATCTGGCTAATTTACCTGATGATAGATCTCTCATTGAAATTCATGACTTATTGTAGAAAAAGAACATATGCGTAGTAATATCTGGAAAGGAATAAAAGGGGAGAAATAAAAGCAAGAATATGGAAAGGAAATATTAAGGAGTATATGCTTAGCAATATCTGGATAATTAAGATGTATTCTGGCTGTCTTTATTTACTGATTGCTAGGGTACTTGTATCTGCAACTCTGGTTGTTTCATGTGCAAAAATGTGGGCTGTATCATATGGATTCTATCGTTCGTATAATGACAATGTGGACTGATTTGTACTTTGACGAACATGAGATACTATGTCATATGAATGCCATAGCAGGATTCTTCCTATTTGGCAGGTTCTGTCTGGGTATTTGTTTCTCAGTGTGATAGTGCCTGTTTACTTGGGTTTTGGTGTCTTGTCTTTAGTGTTTTGGGATGTCCGATTGGGTTCAGTGTTGACCCTTCCTGCAATGATGATTTTTCATTGTTAGCATGATGTATCAGTAGTTTACCGTTTGCTCAAGCCATAGTTCATCAGTATATTGGTCCCATTGTTTATAGCTGCATTTTATTTTTTGGGTCAGAGTCAGGGGGTTTGATGGCATGGAGTAGAAGATCGGGAAAAACTTTTGTAGTTTAGAGGAAACGAAATAGCACTGGTGAATTTTATAAAATTGATGGGAAAATGCATTTTATCCATGGAATTTGCATGAGTCGGTGACATGCAGTTCCAATGTACTTTGGTACGAGTGTGACTTTATGCCACAGAGTTCTATTAGAATTCAGAAGCTTTTTACCTTAAGCTTGGTTACAGTTGTCATGGGATGACCTTGTCTCTTGAAAGCTTTTGTTTTGGATTCAGTTTGAACAAGGTTAGCAAGAGGGCTAACCTGTCCTGTCATTGCATTTGTAGTGTGTAAGAATTGTAATAACATGGATGATATGATATGGGGAAAGCAGTTTCTCTATGGAGCCTGCAGTTGGCACCATAGGAAAACTGGGAAAGGAATAGCTGTTACCTACTTTGAAATAGGATGTAAGTGTAATTTGATGCTCCATAGTGGTAATAGTAATCGAAATAAATATATCAGATTGAATTGAACTGAGAATAGTAGTTAATCTGATTTATTAAAAAAATAATTGTTTAAATAGCTTTTTTCCCCTGCCGTAGACATTTTCTTCCTTTATCTATTTTCTATTTTAAAACTTAACCCTCTCCAGCGATAATTTATTTTTTTTAACATTTCTATCTCCACATTTATATTTGTTACAGAGGGACTGTTTTTGGGGGAGCTCGCCCGCGAGAATTGGTAAGTTCATTTATATCTTAGCACAGAAAAGTGATTCATACTGCCCCGGATTTGACTTCTGAATTAATCCTGACCCAATTTATCATCTCCCTATTGATTACTTTTGGGCATCTCCTTTCACATAGGACCTTTCTACAAATGGCCCAATGTGCTTTCCATGGTCTTTTTAGCCAATCCCCGTGTTTATGTTTTTTAATCCCGGATTTAGTTAAAGATTTTTTGTCATGACATAGTAATTCCAACTCCAGGTTCTGAAGGAGCGAGGAATCGAGGATAATGTAAGCAGTTACGAGTCTCAATCCCCCTTGAGGTAAAACCACATTCTACTTTTCTCCACTTTATATACGATCTCAAAAGTTTTAAGATCTTTCTCTAACTTAAATATTTTATTTTGTATTAAATAAATGACACCCGTAAAGAGCAAAAGCAACCACGCCCAAAGCCGACATGCCCACACACTTGCCGCCTTCTCGCCATAACGAAAAACCTGAAACCAATTCCTCCTACCAAAAGATAGCCAACAAGTACCCAAACCCTGAAAAATTCGATCCTCACAGGAGGAACAGGCCGAATGAAATCCACAAGAATAATCGACCGGAAGTTGATAAGAACCGGAACCAGCAGCAGAAGCAGGACAGGGCCCCATCGCCCGAGACCTGGCGCAAGCCCGTGGGCCCAGAAGGGCTCGGTCAAGGCCCATCTGTGCGGTACGGTAAAGCTGCTTCGGCAGTCGAGCTTGCTCAAGCCTTCTCAAAGTCTGTATCAGATCCTGCAGCCTCCAGGGGAGTTTCGGGTCGGGGTCAGGTGCCTTTTTCCCGGCTGACGGGTCCCACATCGAGGCCTCAGATCAATGGCTACTGAAATCGATGAGGGTCTCTGTGAGAATGGGGACTTTTGGTGAAAGAAAGTTCAGTGAAGGCTCGATTGGCTCGAATCATGATTGGGTAGGCCTGATAAAATCTGGGGACATAAGAGCGAGTTCAATTGTTTTAAACTTTTAATATTAATGGTGTGGTGGTTATTAGCGGATATTATAGGTCCTAAGACGAGTTGTTGTTCAGGGAATAATCATTGAACGTCAGTATTGATTGATTAGTGCATTGGAACTTTTTAAGATGAAATCTTGGTGTTTAATTGATGGATTTTTTTGAGTCCGTTTCTCATTTGTACGTGTTATTGTGCCTCGATTATTTTTCTACCTGATATGCCAAGGACTATTTAAACTCCATTAAGGCGGTTTTTAGGATTCGTAGAATGTTTTGATCCTACGTGGTGTTTGGTAATTATATATTGAGTGGTCGTGTAAGCTCGTAAATTTCGACAGTCAAAAGGAGATAAAAAAGAAATAAAAATTAAAAAAAAAACCGAGATGAAGATAAAATATACTAATAAAGTGAGACCTCAAAATTAAGCTACTGTCTCGTTTTCGTCCTTTTGTATCAGAATAAATTCAACTACAACATTAATAGATGAACTAATGCACAATTGCAGCGTCTCATATTCCGTCTATTTACTCAATTTCTTGGTTTGTGCACATAAATATCATCCAATAATAATACATTAAAATAAAATATGGTAAGATATAATTGGTCATCATGGCATAGGTATAGGCTTAACAACGAGAGAGACCAAATTAGCCTTTGTCTCATTATGAGGAACCCCAAAACCATCTCCAAATTGATAGATGCAGAGCCCAATTCGAGCAAGATTCATGGCGGTCGTACCAAAACTCTTGACGGGCTTTTCCATCATAATGTCTTTGTTCATTCTCTTCAAGTTCACATCGATAAGGTGCTTAATGTGCTCACGAGCATCCTCCTCCGAACATCCCGTCTCATGCATGTGGCACTGAATCGATTTTGGGATATCTCCTTTTTTCATTTCATCCTATAATAGAACACAAAAGAAATTAACTTCCCAATTCAAGATATAATCTTTTCACGAACTACAAATGATAGGGTTGCAAACGAGACGAGCCGAGTCGAGCATTGGCCTTAACGAGCAAGATTGATTTCTTTTACCTGCTTGAGCTCAATTGAAATCAAAATGCTCGAAAGATTGCTCGAGCTCGGCTCGAGTTTGACTCAAATTTCAAGTAAAATTACCATTAAGTACATATATAAAATATTGTATTATTTATACATATGGGGTATTTTAGTAATTTACTACATATCTCGAGCCGCTCGCGAGCAGCTCGACCTTCCAAAACTTATGCTCAAGATCGACTCGATAACATGCTCGAGCCGCTCGAGCCGAGCTTTGACTCGGAGCGCTCGCGAACTGCTCGGTTCGTTTGCAGCCTATACAAATATATTCTTACCGATGTAGTTCCCAAGTCATCGGCCAATCGAAGAACCATGGACGGCCAACGGATGATACCTTGATATTGCTCTAAGACTCTCAACTCTTTCTCATCAATGAGGTTTGAGATGGCAAAATAAGCGTGAAACGAAGCGATAGGCCCCCCTATTGAAATCCAAGCCGTGTTCGCACACTCATTGGTGCTCGGGAAATAGCCATTGTGAAACCATGTCGCCTCTACATAATAAGCTCGACTCAGTTCGGCCCACTGAAAAACACAAAACAACAACATTGTTGTTAAGTGTTAATGCCAATATTGACAATAGTAAAAGCATAAATAATCAAGAAATTAATTTGAGGGTGTTCTCTATACCAATTTCCTCAAGTTGGGAATTATGTTGAGACCTTGGTCCCTTAGAATGTGATAAGCCAACTCATTAGCGGAGTTGAATAAAGCTAAAAAGCAGATCCGCATGTACTCGGGGAGATTGTCCAATTCATTGATGTCCCACCTGATATAACAAACTGTTAATCAATGTTAAGGGATATGGCAATTCATAATTAATTTATTAAAATTAAAATAAAATAAACGAATTGAATAAAGTGAACTTGCGGGGTGCCAGCCCCCCGATGAGCCACTGACCATGCAGGTCTAATTAAAACAATGATAGCTAGAACGACATACTATTTTCACAATTGTTCATACTTTCATTAGAAAATGTCATACTTTAAAAAATAACATAAATAAAAATAGAAGTATAACATTTGATATTGTAAATATACACAGGGGCGGAGCTGCAAGAGGCCCAGGGGGGTCCATGGCCCCCCCTGAATTTTTTTTTAAAAGTCAATATATATATATATATATATAATTCTATAAATTATATATAAAATTCTATAAATTGTGTATATAAATTTAAAAATATTCAGAATATATTAATAATTAAAACCTATTTCTATACTATTTTAATATAAAGCATTAATATTATTTATTTTATAGAAAATGTACAAATAATCATTATATTTTTAAATTTCTAAATGAGTTTTTAAAAATATTTATAATGATTTACTCTTTCGGTTTTAATTGTAAATTGATTTTTTGATTTATAAAATCGAGTATTTAGTTGAATTGTTAAGTTTTTAAATATTGATTTTTTATTTTGTGTAATCACATATTTTTAACTTTATTTATTTTAAAAAATATTTATTTGATAAGCTCCCACCAACAAAAACTTTATGAAATGTGCTGAAGTTTCAATTTAAATCAATTTTTCAACACAAAAACTTATTTTTTCATAAATTATAGATGTTAAGCTTAATTACAAATTCATGAAATCTCTCTTTTTTTATATATATGTTTTAAAAGTTTGAGGGTGATACGAATTCTATGTTTTTAAAAATTTGATGGTACACATATCGATATTTATATACATAGTAAATACATTTTTATATGAAATGAGCGTTTTGACTTAAACTACAAACTCGTTATTTAACATTAAAAATCGGACCCTCCTGAGTGAAATTCCTAGATCCGTCACTGAGTATACATGTTTGTTCAAAGAGTATGATGGATCAACCTCGTTTAACTGTTTGACTCTCTCATATAAGATTGAAAAATGGATTTTTTTTTTCTAAATAAATATTTATGCTTTTATTAAAAAATATAGTACTTTATAAACTACCAAACAACAAATATTTGACACATAAATATATATATATATTATTCACATCATATAAGAATTTGTATTAAAAAATATGTTTATAATTCAACCAACCTCTCAATGGCGTGGGTGAAGGCTTGGAGTTCAGGCAAGGTACCATATAAATCGTATATGTCATCAATATATGTAATTAGCACAGTCATCTTAGTTAAAATCTCCCTCGTAAACCCAAATTGAGGTTCGGGCGTGACCCCCACGGCCCACAGGAAACACTCGGCCAACCGATGCCTCGCAAAACCCAACTTCTCTGCGAGACCAGTTTCTTTGTACCACCTGCAATTCAGCACCAAAATTATGTATTATTTCCCTAACATGCCTCACCAAATTTTGTATAGGATGGTTTACTATTTGCCAAATCANAGCGAATCAAATATGAGGTTGTTCATTAAATTTGGACATAGTATTGTTCACAGAGTAATGCTACATCAAAATTATTTATTTTTATTAATATATAGGAGAAAAAATATTATATATATCGTATATATTTAATTAGTTACAATTAATTATCCGGTTTTACAATTGACCCGATGACCAGACTCTGAAAACAGTATTGAAAGTATTAATGTTGCACGTGACACATATGCATAATTAGACTATTATATATTATACCACTTTTGTGAGAGACAAAAAAATAAAATAAAATAAAAAAATAAATAAGAAAAGAAGTTCTACCTTGACAGTTGCTTAATCTCATGCTGATATAGAACTTGTACCATGTTGAAATCCAGTTTTGCAAGTTGGACCAAAATAAGGTTGGCATCTAATTTACTCTCATACACATTTATGAACCATTTGGCTTCAAGCTTTTGCACTCTCCAGTGTAGTGGGAGCTCCAAAGCATGCCTCACTTGCTCGGCTACACTCGAGTCCCTAATTCCCTCGACCATCTCCCTAAGATGATGAGTCGAGAAATCTTTTGCCGAATCCAATAAATCTTCACCTTCGACCGATAGAAAAGAAGCTTCGTATAAAGACAACATGCCCTTAACATCACTAGCAAGACACGCCTTGAAATTTCCAAACTCGTCCGTAAATCCACAGAAAACCTCTGAAACAGTTAAAGATTTTGATATATAAAGAACTAATGTGTTATTATTTTTTTTAATGATTTATTTTGTTATTAATTTGTACCTTGGGGCACATGATAGCCATGTTCTCTGAGAAGCCTAAATTTGAGGGCTGTAACATGCAAGTCCTTGTCGGTATACTGTTCGTGGCATTCAATTGTTTGGTAAATGTTTTTAAGTATAGTCTTCACTCGATCTTCGAAATGGTTCGATATATGAAGCCGTTGCAGATTATCAATGAATTCGAGTTGGTCCAGCTGGCTTTCGGTCTCGTCTATGATGATTTTCACATGGCTTTTCAGCTTATCAGCTTGTTTTACATACTCTTTCCCCTGCATCTCCATATATAAATGAAATTTCTCACAAAGTATAAGCTTTTGATTAAAAGGCGCCACGTAAGCATCTTACAGAGTATGGAGAGCCGATCGATTGAATGTAGTCATCATCCCAAACGCTTGCTTCGTAATTTCCCGATCTTCTTGCTTCCATGATCCTCTGAGATTTACGCAATAATTACAGGGGATATATGAATTAGATGAAATGCTTGAATTAGATGAAATGCTTAAGATATATATATATATATATATATATATATATATATATATGTTTGTGGTTACAAGTTGGACATGAACAGTTGTTTTTAATTTAAACAAAGCAAAAATGGTACGAGGTTTACAAATTCATGGATTCTTGGAGCACAACATGGATTTACAATTTTATATGTGTGTAAGGGAACAAATAGTTTCATTGCAGAAATAACCGTGTGTACTAATTATAAATATAGCTCTTGCTAGTAAATTGGTTAACTTGAAAAAGGGTATTTAAGTTAAGTATGGCCTCTTTGTGATATCGTATATTATATATATATAGCCAGAGAAACTTTGTATACCTTTCAAAATCAATCACCAAATAATGTTAGTTGGCATGCTAAATATGTTCTTTGTATAATAGAAGTGATGGGGAAATTTGGGTTAAAATACTATAATTTGAAAAAAATTCATATTTGGCCATATTAAGTATAATTAGTTTATTTTTTTATACTAGTAGAGTTCAACACCGTTATATTATACACGTGTAAATAAAAAAACTTATACTTATTTTTTTTTTTTAAAAAAAAGAGAAGTTTTTATTTTATGTTTCAAATAATTATTAAAAACACTTAATATTAGTTATATTTAAAATGGCAATTGTCACTTGTACAACTTACTCTTCTATATTATAATATTTTTTTCAATTCATATTATACAATGAACTTGGTAATTATATTTATTTAGTTGAAAATAATCTAATTATTTTCTAATTAATATTAATATATATTTCATTTTTTTTATTAAAATTTAAATACGTACATTTATTTATATAGGCAATATAAATGTTAAATCGAATCTAGAGATGGTTAATTTGACGTATCATCTATATCTATATCTATATCTATATCTATATAATGGACCAATCTTTATTGCCATAATTGGCATGATTTTGGGCGGGAAATTTTTTCGTCTATATTTGGTATTTAATTAATATTTATTTATTAGCAAATCTTATGTATGAAAAATATAATTTTTTTATACACTCAATGACTGTTACTCACTAACTACAATTAGCTTAAATTGAAGTTTTGACCGTAGATTTATTAGATATATTTTCAATAAGATCTTATAGTAATTTAATAGTAATGTTTTGATACAATTCAAAAAATTATTATGAAAATTGATTTGATTAAATATATTATCATCTATGGTCGTAGGTATTAATTTAATTAATTATATTCAGTATTCAAAAGTACTTGAAAAATTTAATTAAATAATCAGAATAACTATGTTTAAATCATAATAACTTAATAAATAATTTAAAATATTAATAAAAGTTTCTAAAATGTAGTCAATTTAAGTATAAAAAGGTACATCCCCATTGAATATATCATATGAAGTGATAATACTATTGAAATTTAAATAATATACTAATAAAAATAAAATGTGATGGTTGAGTGCAATTCAGAACTATAAATTTCACCTTAGAAGTATCTATGTACATTTTAAAACTATTTATTTTTAAAAAATATTTTTTTTTTCTAATATACTACTTTATAAATGAAAAATAAGTTAAGAAAAGAGGTATAATAATTTAAATTATAGCACTTAGTAATTATGAAAATATATATATATATATCTAAATATTTGAATAGATACTATGTAACTCATTATATAGGTTGAAAAAATGAATTAAATAAATAAATATAAATAAAAAATAAAAATATAAAAATAAAATATTTAATCATAAAAAATTTGTTTGTTGCATAAGGATTAAAGTTACTAAAAAAAATTGAATGAAATAAAACAAATAATTGACCATTATTTGCCCGAATGAAACTTGCCGCATAAATTTGAACTGATCACATGGAACATATGGAGATAGAATTTTGTATGGCCAGTTTCATTTGTAGTTTATAGCGACCAATTACAAACATTATTCATCATCATGTTTGAACCACAACACTTGCTCAAATTATTGAGGTTGGTCCGAAGGAAGAAAATTCACGCGTTTTAAAACCATCATTAGGAAATTAAAGGCCCATTCGAAACGTGATAAACTAATTTGCATGGACACAAAAACGTGATAAACTATATTATCATGACCGAGTATAAGGAATCAACAGCTTCCATTCGTATTGTTTTTCTGCCTATGTGTTACTATGTTATTTAGGGTATAATTTAGTGTATTTTAAGCAGTGTTTTAAAACGCGTATAGCGTAATGCGTCGCGTTTTGAACTTTATACTGCTAACGTAAATAGTGTTGCGTGTTGCGTAAGATATTTGAGTATAAAAAGTTATTTTTATCGAAATATTATAAATATATTTGTATATAATAAAACTGGATGGTTGATTTAAAAAAATATCATAATATTTGAATGAATTCAAAAATAACATCTAAGAATTTTTTCTACAAATGTTATAGTGTCAATATCATAATATAAATATTTAAATATTATAGCAAACATACTAAAAAGTAAAACAAACAACGAAAATATAATAAGGTAAGTCATAGTTTTATTTTAAATATATACATTTTAATTATTACTTTGGTTTAACTATAGCTTAATTTCAACCACTATATATGATCTTTTTATTCTTTATTTAAATGTTAAATATCGAAAATTAAAATGAAATAATAAAAATGGACCGATAAATATTGCACTATTCAACTTAGAATTTTGTATTTTCAAACTTTTATTTTAATATCATTATCAAAATTTTAGGTTTTAGTTATCATTTGAAAATATGACTCTAATCTCTAAAATAGGAGTTTTGAAATATTTTATTATTTAAATATCATTGCAGAAATATAGCGCAATATCGCACACAATAGCGTGAAATAACCCAAAATAGCCTAAAAAAGCGTGTCATTTCAGCATTTCGTGTAAGCTTTTCGAGAAAAATGCTAAATGTATAACGCTACGTCGCGTTTTTTGGAAAAAAAAGCTACATAGCGAGCTACGTAGCGAGCTATTTAAAACAATGATTTTAAGTGATTTAGTAAGGAAACAAGAAGGTTTTTATTTCAAGATTTGGCTACTCACGGGCCTTTTTTTATACAAGAGCCTGTCGAAGGCTACCAAGATCAAGAAAAATACTAAGAAATTTCGTATTTTGTGATGATTTAGTTTTTCGCGAACTAATTTTGTCATAATTTGTTTGGTGGAAATGAAAATGTTTTTTTTATATTATTTTTATGACAACATTTACTTTTGTCACTACATAACACATTATAACACTTTTTTGTGTGACAAGAATAATTCTTCTCAATTTGGTATGTAATAATGACAATTTTTATTTCGTCGTTGAAAAATATTCTATTTATGAAATCATATATTGTCTATCATTATGTAATAATTACATTTTTTTATAACAAATATTTTTTTTTTTTACGATGAGAGTTATTGTGTCAAAATTTCTCATTTCATAGTTGTTAGTGACAAAATTTATTCTTATCACCGAAAATTTCACTTATTAATGACACTCTTAATTTTCATCCCAAATGTACATATACTATGACGAATTCGTTACAATTTAACAATTAACAATGACAAATTATTTTTCAACTATGATCTCGGAGACGAGAGGAGACAACGCAAGATACACAATGATAGATATACGTGCTCCGGTCTTTAGTCCCCATTGTTACAAATGCAAGTGTCAAACGGGGGTAAAACGAGTGCGGTCCCACACAGGTGAAGCGCACCATAAGAGAGTTAGCCCAAGTGAGGTTTCATCCCAAAATCAATTGGTGATGGGAGGAGTAGCCCACTAGGTTTATATACTAGGCTCATTTACCTTATCAAATCAATGTGGGATAACTCACAAGTGATATTCCAACAACAAGAAATTCAAAACCTTATTTTATTTTAATTTATTTTATTTTATTTTATTATTATTATTTTTTTCTTTTGGCATTTGTTCTAGAAGTTGGAGATTAACTAAAACAAAAATGAGCCTATTTTCAGAACTTGAGGGATTTTTCGAAATATTTATGTTTAGTTAAGGGTCATGCACAACCTAGAATAAGACTTTTATTGTAGTTTTTTTGGGACATTGGCTTTCTTTAACTAAACTAAGGCATGCTTGTTTATAAATTAAATATTTCATTCCCATTAAATTCATACTCAAAATCTAACTCAACTTTAACTCAATTCTACTATAATTAGTATTATTTATATAATTAAATTTTACACATCACATCAACTTTAATTCACTATTCATCCACTCACATAATTTTAACTACCTATCATTTCCAATCATTTTCAATTATTTATCTCCTACTTTTACATCAAATCAATTTTAATCATTTTATTTTAAATATTATTTTAATACATTCTTAAAATTCCACTAACAACTAACCATAACACCTTTTTCAAAATTAACTATGGTTAACCAAAATAACTCATTTTGAACAAATTATTCCATAAACAAGCGCCTCCTAAATTTCTGGTTTTTACGTATGTGGTCGGTTTTATGGATGAGTAGAAGTTTCCATAATAGCAGTCACTTACATTGAGGGGCTTAAAAATGCTGTGGAAGAGCTTATCAACCAACTACACCAAATTGAGCCAAATTGTGATGAAGATGATGGTGATGATCAAGAGAAGATCAAATTCGAAGAGATTGATACCGAACACGAACAATGGAATCAGGAAAAACAGTATGATTTCCAGTGAATATACTAAATCAACATTCATACTTTATTTCATGTTTGCTAGATGTGTTGTTTCTTGACTTGATCTAACTGATACATGCATCACCACTTTCAGAGTAGTAACCCATTTTACTTCATCTGCTCAGGTGAAGTTTTATAACTACATATCAACCCCTGAAATGCGATGTGTATCCAGAAGCAACCCAATATGTTTTTTCCAAAATTATAAAGCAGATTGCCTTCAAAGTTTAATTAATTCGTTGGGCATTCACAATATAAGGGGGTTTTTCATTTTTGAAATGTCATTGTTTATAGTTATTATCAAACTTCCACTACCTTTATTTCTTTCTATTTTGGTTATTGTCAGTTTAAGATATGCATCAGTTGTAAGAAATGCAAAGAATGATAAAAACTTATTTTTATATTTTTCTGTTGACAAAATCACCCAAGCAGTGAGTGACTATACCTGTGGACTTAGTCACAAAATCAAAAATAATGAGAGAGAGGGAGAGAGGGAGAGAGAGAGAGAGAGAGAGAGATAGAGAGAGAAAGAGAGAGAGCATGTGCCAAGTAGGACCATGAGAGTAATATATGAATTGATATATCACATAATGGTGCTTTAAGAAACATTAAGCCCCAACAGTTGATGATTTCCAGACAGTAACTTGTCCTGCATATATATGTGTGTGTTTATGACTTGGTTTTTTAGAATTGATTAACTAACAAGGTACTTGAAAAGAGAATTGATTAACTAACAAGGAACATTAAGCCCCCACAACAAACAGACATGCCACTGTGGAATCCACCTGCAATTGTACCTCAAAAATGATATTGTTAACCACATTTGAAAACTCTTTTTTCCCTTTAAATTTTTGTTCAAACCAACACCAACATTCAATCACTGATTAGCAAAAATCTTCCTCTTGAATTCTTTATTTTCGACCCAACGGTGTTCATGATTTATGATTTATTTTAACCGACCCGTGGGGCCCCAAGGCAGTAATGTTCATTGTAGAAACAGATATGCATTAAATTCAAAGAGTCAGCTAGCTATGTAGAAACTTGATTTATTGCATAAAATAAATAAATAAATAATGTATGGGCCTCATTAATTTTTTACTACTTTTCAATTGATAAGACATAGACTGCCACCCTTTTATGGGTACTATTTTTGAACTTCAGATATTGTTATATATGGCCCTATGTCAGAGCTCTACTAACAGTTTGATTCCCTAGCTAACAGAATAATATTTTACCTGGTTTAATGCAGGTTAAGTTAATTACCTGCTCCTAAATCTTATCCACATTTTGTCACAATTTGTGTTTTTTCATGCGTTGCTTTAATCAATAACAATTTTTATTATAAAATCAATTAATTAATAAATCTATTCAACTTTTACCTTTCAGTACTCAAATTTCAAGATTCTAGTAAAATTAATTTGTTTGATACATTTCCAAGTTTCAAGATTGCACTAAAATTAAGAAGTTTCAGCAGAGCCAGAACAGATATCATGCTCACAAATTCAGAAAATCCCAAAATCTTATCATTTATCTCCCCAAAAACCCAATAGTCAGTAACCATCTTTTTTACAAAATCTACAAAAACTTCTTTTCTTCTATATTACAAAATCACTCTCCCATTCCACTTTTCCAATTCTGAACACACAAACTGCAAAATGAGGGCACACCCACAAAAATCAGCAAAAATAAAAATGATAAAAGCAAAGAAATTTCCAAAAACACCCTCATCTCTTATCTTCAAACTCAAACCCCATTTCCAAATTCTCCTCCAACACCTCACCTGCATTGCCCCCAAATCCCTCATCAGAAAAAATAAAAATCAAATCTTCCTCAAAAAACACGCAAAATTCAACAAAGGGCAAAAAAAAAAAAGTGTACCTTGAGGATAGCAAATCGGAGGCTCCTCGAACAACGAAAGCGACATCTGTTTATGCGCAACGCCAATGTCGAACAAGATGAGCCCAGATGAAGGGTCATAGACGATGATGTCCTTAACAGGCAGCCACAAAAAGAGCTCCTCTTGAGACAAACCCTCGACTCCTATGAGCCCGCCATAGCTCAAATTGGCTCTGACCACGCTCTCGAACGAAACCCTGGTCTCGAATTTCGCGACGCAGGGCCGGTCCAAGTAGACCTGCAAAATCCCATCTTGGCCGAGCTCGTATGAGCTGATGCCGTTCTTGGGGAAGAGACCCGCCGGCAGACCTCGGCTTCTGAGAAGGTCGTGGATTGTGGAGCCCGACGAGGATGTCGGAAAGGCGAGGAGAACGAGGTGGAGGAGGAGGAGGAGAGGAAGGGTCGCCGCCGCCGCCGTGGCCATTGAGGGGTTTTGTGCTGAGGGATTTGGGAATGTGAGTGAGCGAGTGAAATTAAAAAGAGGGGTTTAATGGTGAGAGTTGTGTGGTGTGGGGGCTACATTTTTAATTGTTGGTGTTTTGTTTTTTTGTTTTTTTAACCATATTAGCCTCTTTAACCACAAATGCTTTAACAATAATAATAATAATAATAATAATAATAATAATAATAATAATAATAATAATAACAACAACAACACACGTTCTTGTACAAGGGGACGCAATCTTTTAATGTATTAGTTGTTAGGTCTTTTAATAAAACCGCATATTTAAATTATAAAATATCAAAATTTTTATTTAATAAGCATGATATTTCAATATCAAAATATGATGAAAAAGTATGACTAATATGTTTGTCTAACAACCGTCTTCTTAGTTTAATAATATCGGTAATTTTTTGTTAGATCGTTTAGGGCGTGATTGTTTATAAGTTGTACAGTAAAAATCTCACTCAAAACTCAAATTTAACTCAACTTTAACTCAACTCCACTATCTTCAATATTATCAATATAATTAAATAATATCAAACAATTATTATTACACATCACATCAACTTTAATTCACTATTCACCCACTCACATAATTTAATTAACCATCACTTCCAATCATTTTCTCCTACTTTTACATCAAATCAACTTTAATTATTTTAATTTAAATATTATTTTAATATATCCACTAACAACTAACCATATTACTTTTTTTCAAACTTAACTATAGTTAAAAAAAACTAATTTTTTACTAGTTGAATTCATATCCAATCACCCCCTTAATAGTCAGTCAATCACATACTTTATACCCAAATCAAATATTATAATTTAACAAAATATATAAAATACAATAGATTTGTTTTTGAATATAAATATGTACTTTTGGACTAAAAATGTAGTAAGAATTGGACAACCAAAGTGGTGTATGTGCAATAATATCATTAATAATAATAATTGACGTGTTGTGATTTGTGCTGGCCCTTATGACAGAGGAATACTGTTTGGCTTGCCAGAAGGGATCTAGCTAAGAAAAACTAATAATTATGAGAAGGATTATTGTATTCCATACGTGAATTTTCTTTTCTTTATTGGGTCTGTTTGTCTGTTGTATGAATATTCTAGTTGATGTTAATTCAGTTGGCCTTAAATTGGGGAATAAATTATTTTCTTAAGTTTGAATTACAGAAACTAAGCTCAAAAGTTTATCCAACCACATTCAAGAATCAAGATGATGACTCGGTCAACCAAGAAAATGATAAATAAACGAAAACGTAGAAGTCATTTATATAATAATACATAAATTTTAAATGTAGCCGAGAAATCTTAATATTGTAATAATACATAAATTCATGCTTATTAAATAAAAGTGTATCTTATAATCCAAATGACATATCTCTTAAAGTCAATTTTTAAAAGCAACTATGAAAATATGTGTATTTGTTAAAAAAATTACATTTTTTAACAGTTGGGTCGCTTAATAGTAATAGCAAATCATAATGATTAACAAGTATACAAACACAAGACAAGTGAATGGTATATGTGGAAAATTTTTTAAAAGTGTAACAATCACGAGACAATTGGCTTAAGGCTAAAGGTTTGTTTGTGCATGTAAAGAGAAATCATGTGAAAAAGAGATATCATCAGTATTTCTACTCATTAAAGATCAAACAGAACAAACTTCACATTATTTTTCACCCAATCGGACGACGGAATTTACGAGGTTATTTGCTCTCGCTTTTTCTTTTTTTCTTCACATATTAATTCAACTTTACTTCCATAATATAAGGTGCCACTTTTCTCTATTCGATACTCATCAACAGTAAAAGATGAATCTTAATATTAATATAATAATATTCTGTTTGAGGTATCTTGTTCCCAGCATTTTAAATTATTAAACGGAGGCTTAAACTAATTTTAATTAGTTGATTAACGGGGCATCTTGACAAATTGCTCCATACTATAAAATCAGCCTCAAATAAAATCACCCCATACAATAAAATAGAACTTTTAAAATCACAATTACTTCATAGTCTTGGTCAAATTCCCAAAAATCACCCTCAAATTATTCTAATCAAATATGAGAACCAGACCAATGCTAGTAAATAATATGTGATTTTAGAAGTTTTGATCAAGTACAAGTTAAGTTTTTGGAGTAAATCTATCTTTTTTCTATATATATAATGATATAAAATACAATGTGTAGTACTATTTGGAACACATTTTTTTAATTTTACACTAAATATGTGGTTCCAATTAAAATTTTATGCAATTTCTCAGTAGATATATAGAATGGATTACGTCATCATACTTGTTTAACGAGTATTACGCCATAAAAGTTTTAACAAATATTTCACCATACAAACTCCAATATACTAATGAATAAATAAAAATTTCTTAATTGATGATGATATGTTGGTGTTTTTGTTTTTATTTTTGTTGGTAATTTGTGTAAAAAGTATATTATAATGCAATATTATTAGTTCGTTAGTGATCCCCAACAGAAATATTATCTTGTTGGTATTGTTCCAATTTATTGTAGTGCAACCTTGATTTATGCTTTTATGACATTTTATGGTTCATCTAAATGACATGTTCTTACATATTTTTTTTATTTAATTAGTACATGCCGTTTATTTATTTATTTATTTTTATTTAGGTGGCAGCTAATTAATTAATAATAATGATGAAAAAAAAATAATTAGTTAACTAATTCAGTGTGCTGCAAACTAGGAGCGCCCAATACAACTGGTGGTCACTTATTGGGAAGAAGCTACTAAACAGGGAGAGCAGCCGACGGATTTTACTAAAATAAATAAACATAAATAAACAAATTAATTGATACAATAAATTCAGATCCCTATTGGCTGCTAGTATTACAGTGTCAGAGCCTAGGGATTTTCAAATATACTAATAGTAGTATAAAATATTTGGTGTAAAATATTTTCAAATATCATGATATGCTATATCATGATATGACAATCATTTGGTGTAATGTTTGATAAAAAAATTTATGGTACAACAAAAATTGAAAAATAAATCAATAAGAAAGTAAGAGTTTGAAATATAATTTTGAATACCAAAAAACAATTTGTATGAAATATTATTTTTTCCAATTAAAATATATACATTTTTGGTAAAGGTAAATAGAATAATTAGTTTATTCATTAGTTTTTATAATGGCGCATGAACAACACGCGGGATGCATGAAAAAAATTGTAAAAAAAATAAAGAATTTATATTCTTATAATAGAATGGTAAAATCATACAAAATTAATAATTAAAATTTTAACAAAGTTAATTATTTAAAATGATACCCGTTCTTTACATTACTAAATTTAACAATTTATCCACTTTTAATTCTCCAATGCATAATGTTATCACAAATATAGTGATGAAGTAGACATAGTTAATGTATACAATATAAGGAAGGATGTGCTTCATCCACATTCTCCTTCACATTCTAGCCAACCAATAAGAAAAAAAGAGCAAAATATTTTTACTTTATTTAAAATATCTATTGATTTTAATTTATTTATTTATTTATTTTTTATTTTTTTATTTTGGCCAAGTAGACAATATTGTGTTTGATTACATTGTGCATTGAAGGTAATTTTTTAGAATCAAAGTTGTAAATCTAAGAATTATCTTATGTGGTTCACAATCCATCTAAATATCTAATTGATTGACATTTGTCAAAATTTATGTAACAACATTTATACATTGGAGATACTCTATTAGTGTATGGTTTGAAGTTGCTTCATTAACACAAAAAGAAGAAGAAGAAGATGATAATAATAATAATAATAATAATAATAATAATAATAATAATAATAATAATAATAATAATTCATTTTAAACAGAATAATTTTTTCTTTTTTATTTTTTAAAATAATAGCCTTCTACACCGTCCAACTCATGCATTAAAGCCCCACCTCCCTGGCAAGGGAAAAATTCAAAATGGTCCAGCAACTAGTGTGTATCAATTATTCAATATCAATGGAAAAAATATAAAATAGACCAATTTAAGTATAATTTTGATTGAAATCAGAATTTCAATCGAATATTCTAAAAATTGATTAATTTCGTATATAATTTCGATTGGATATCCTAGTTTCAATTGAAAATGTAATAGAATTTCCTAATGTCAAATGAACCTAATTTCAACTGAAAATGTAATAGAACATGTTTGATTGAAATTTTTGGTTCGAAATTGACGGGCCATGTACACATGACTCATTAGGTTTTCCATTCTTCCTCCATTTGGTTAGCTTTTAAAGATCTCTACCAAAATTATTCCCTAATTAGTCAATATTAGAATTTTTTTAAGCAAAAATATCCCCAAATCAATCAATATTAATAAGAAAATACACTACATATTAATTTTGAATTCCAATTAAACTAATTTTAATACACCCCTCAAAATTACCATATACTTGTCAAAATTTCTCCTCCGGCTAAGAGATGATCCTATATCTAGCATTATAGCACTGGACTAAACCTTTGATGTCATACATAACATGTCACAGAAAATAAACTACATACATTCACATCAATACGTACAAGTGAAGGATGACAAAGTAAAACTAAAAACAAAAAACCAACAAGATAGCTTATTATTTGCATCATTTTGCCGCCCACCAAAAGCTCCAAACAGCTGAATCAAATCTAAAGACTTCAACACGTTCAATTATTCAATTTGGCCTTTAAGATCTGCCCCAACTTGTCACATTTTATCCCCAATTTGGCCTCTCACCAATTGCACGTCAAACCCATAACAAACGACACACTTATTTTGCTTCAATTATCACTGTAAAATAAATAAATAAATAAAATCCATGGCCTGTTTCACATTTTTTCTTAACCCTTTTCTTTTACGTGCAATAACCAACAAAACTGAATGTCTAGCAAGAAAAAATCAATTCGGGATTCTTTATGTTACTGTAGCATGATTGACCGCGTTTTAGTACAAACACAGAGAACTTACAACACTGAAAAAGACAAAAATGAAAAATAAAAAAATAAAAATTTTTACCATGTATATATATAGTCCATTGTACATTACTTGTAGTGCAGCCATGAGTTCCCCTGAGACTGCTGTTGAAGAGGATAACTTTCATAATCATAAACCAATGGACTCCCGAAAAGATAATCCGCGGCACTCTCCCATGGATCCATCCTTCTTTCTCGATCGTGACAATGACAACACTTTTCGCACTTTTGTTCGCGCGCCCGCTTAGCCAAACACGGCCAATAACCGAACAAACTCTCACAAATATCCACACCTTCCAAACCCGACCCATACGGCATTCGTGCCACGTCATCCAAATATCCGTACTCTCCAACTTCAAACCCATCATCACAATTACCCGTTTTCCCATTCTCCGCCACGTCATCATTTCCGAAACTTTCGGTTTTACTCTCTACCGGTTTAATTCCATTAGTAGTAGGCTTCTTGTCGACATACGGTGAAGGAATCGAAGCATACGAGAAATTTTCGAACCCGTTTTTCTCGGATTCCGGCGAAGAACGAGGATAGCACGTGATTTCTGAAGGGGGGAAAGGTTTTCCGTACGTCTTGACAGGGTCATAGCCTCCGCTATAAGGAGTGGGGTCGTACTCCTCGAATTCAGGCTCGTTGAATTCCATTTTCGAATAAGAGATTTTGAAATTCGTAGCGTGTAATGAAGAAGGTGCATTGTAGGAGGAATAATATTCATTCGGATGATCGTATTCGGTTGGAGTTTGAATTTGAGTGGAAAAGGAATAGTAACTATAATTGCCATTGGTGTTGTAAGGAGTTAAATAGTAGTCATCAAGATCCTCTTTAAAGCCATAGAAGGCCATTTATTTAGAGTACTAGCTAGATGAAAAGGGTTTCAAGAAAAAGTAAAAGGCAAGAAAATTTTGGTGCAAGTTCTTGATATATTTGAAGTGAAGGATTTGGGGTTTAATATCAGCCAGTTGATTCTTATCCAGTTAAGAGGCAGGGCAAGAGCAGGACAATGAGTCATATGTTTGGTTTGGTGGATATCACTGTTTATTGTATTCTTATGAAGGAAAGAAGAGATTATGTTGTGATTAATGAGATGGAGAAATGAGTGGTCATTGTTAGAAGATAAGGTCCATGTGCTTTTGAATCTCAGTGCCAAAGCCAATAATAATTCATGATTTTGACTGTGACATTCCACCTTACACAACTTTGTTTTGCAGTAAGGCCAATTAGAAGTGATCCAATTCGCATTCAACATTCCACCAGTCTATAAAATGGACAATAAGCAAAATAACTAAACATTGCTAAAATTGAATTACAATTCGAATTGGCAAATCATAGTAGGAGAATCGAACCAAGTAATCTCCCATTAAGAGGCAGATTCTCGAGATGTTTCTTATCTTGGTCTTCTTACTTCAGCAGGAGGCCCATCTCTTAATCTTAAGTCTGTTTTCTTGAATCCAAGACCTGGGCTATGTATGCTTACTGGGCCATGTTTACGGGTGTTATTGTTCACAGCTCAGTAGGCCCATAATGAAGACCTTACCATGTAAAACATTTATGTGTAGTTTCATTTTTCGCAATTATCTGGTAGACCAATTCCTTTCCCAATTTTCTCGGGAAAAAATAAAATAAAAAGAAAAAGAAAAAGAAGGGGTTTGAACAATGAAGTTACTCTGAATTAGGTCAATTTACTTCACATCAAGTTTACTAGTGCCCATAATGAATTAGTTAATCCATATCTCCCAAACATAGATCATATGCTTTGACCAAATGTATTGAAAGGAAACAAAAAAAAAGGGAAAAATACTTACAAGATTAGGTGAAAACCCAGTATACAAAAAGCTCATAATAACATTGCCTACATTTGTTTATGTCTTTTGTGTCTCATAGGGTATATTATTGTTATTTGACTAATTTGTGTCAAATTGCCGATAAATTACTGTTCTCTTCAAAGGGGTTCCAATTAAGCTCCGTTTATATTTAATCTGTAGGTCAACAGAACTTTCCGTTTAACGCACATAAAGTTAACAAGGAAAATCTTGCTAACACGTAATTAATTTTTGGAAAATAAATTACCCTACCCTCTTATGTCTCATATAGCATGACTCAATATCTATAAAGAAAATAGCAAATACTTGAACTTGGATTTTGCTGATAAGAGCAACTTTAACAACCAGACTCCATAAACTTTTTTTTTATGTTTTCCAACATGTCACATCATCCAAAACATCTACACATATAAATCTTCAATAACAATAAATTTTATAGACCTCTCTTTTTATGGGTCCCACATGTTTCCCACTTACATTTAATTATATTATACTCTTATATTTTAATTAATATTTAAAAACTATAACTCTATTTTATTTATATTCAATCTGAATATTTCATATATTTATAATAAATGCATATATAAAATAATATAATTACATTATATTATTTATAATTATAAAGTGTTAAGTACGTACCAATATAAAGTTTTACTTAGAAATTACAATACACAAAACTTGCATAATGTTAAAAATTATAATTTGAGTAAATTTTTTTTCTAAATATTATATTATCATGCTATGTTAAATGAAAATTAATCATCTTAGAAGATTAAGTGTTTTTTAGTTTTTAATAATAAATAATTTATAACTTTAATTTTCAGTCATTAACTTATTAAATAAGTGTACAAATTGATAAATAACAAAAACGAAATAATAAAATTAAAAAAAACCACATTGAGGAAAATCAAATAATTGCCATGGCCTTTCCAACCAGTGGTTTAAAAAATCAAATAATCTTTTTATTTTATATATTTATCATACATAAAAATAAAAACATAATATAATTATATAATAAATAAATAAAAATAAAAAGAACTAAATATAATGAAACTGGTCGAATTACGCAGAGACAATACGTGAGTCTCAATTCTCTCATCAAATCCTTTTCTTTTTTTTTTTCCCCGTATTTCAGGTTTTGTAGAGGTTTGATGATGCAAAGCCGGTTTGACTTTTTAAACCTTAAATCTATTTACTTTAGTAACAAAACCTCATGGTTTACAATTTTAAACCTTTCCAAATAATGCTCTAATATACATGTTATTTTATTGTTATCGTGCCAATATAAATTATAAACTTATCTCTCTGTCCCTCAAGATTATTATTATTATTATTATTATTATTATTAAAATCTAATCGTATACACATTATGTCAATTTATACGCCGAATAAATATGATGTGTCAGTAAATTAAACTAAAGGCCAGAAAAATTATCTTATCACAAAGGACTAATCATTGAGATTGAATATAATTAATGATTCTTAAAGAAGTATGATATTAGACAATTACAAAGATTGTCCAATTGAAGAAGTACCTTATCTTTGTTCACAATGTTTTAAAGTATCAAATTTCAGTATAAAAGTAGGTATATTTGTTTAAAATATATGAAAAATTACACTTTATTTATCGAACTATACGTGTTTTTACATTTTGCCCACTCAATTTTTTTCCGGTGACACTTTACCCCTTGAACTTCAAATATTCTTGTACTTAACGACTTCCGGCCACCGGAGATGCAAAATCAAAGGCAAATCGTCATTTACACCTTAGGGACACCTCAAATTAGTCTTTCACGAGTACACTTTGTCTACCGAACTATTCGCGTTTTTACACTTTGCTCTTAATTTTGCATTTCCGGTGGTCGGAAGTCGTTAAGTGCAAGAATATTTGAAGTTCAAGAGGTAAAGTATCACCGGAAAAAGTTGAGTGGGCAAAGTGTAAAAATGCGAATAGTTCGCTAGACAAAGTTTAATTTTCCCTAAAATATATGGTTGTCTAACTTTAAATATGAGATTTTTGATCATGCCGTATAACACAATCAAATTGAAATAGCATTACGGGTGCGACTGGAAGTCAAATAATTTGGTTATGATTTGATTAATGAGACGCAGTGAGTTAATTCGAATAAAATTGATTGAATGAGAGATTGAGTGATATTTTAATTTTTTATTATATAACTAATTAATGATATTATTGAACAATATTGATAAAAAGCAAGAGAGTTAAGTTTGATTAAAGTTTTTGAGTTAAAAAGTTGTAAAAAACTTATATGACTAGTCAAATTTTTTATTTTTTTTTCCAGCACCCTTACAAATTTTGCTGGTCAAAAGGTCCCAATAATGCATTTGTTCATCTAACATACGTCAATTCAAATTTTTCTGACCAAAATTGATACTCTAAAAAATTCATTGTAAAGCAGCTTAACCTCCCCACCACGGTTAGTTGACACCAAATGCGCCAACCGAATAATGTGTAAACTGTAAACTATATTCCCAAATTATTGTACAATAATTTATGCATGTGTCACAATGAAAAATATATTTTATTTGGTTTTAAAAGTGGTTTTATTTTTCTTTTGAAAATTCTTAAATAAATTATCGTTTGATAAAAGTCCATGAAAGTGTTGTTTTATTTATTATATTATACTGATAATTGGGATAAGAATTAAAAAAAAATACTAAAATAAAATTTGCTTTGTATTTTGAAGATAATATATAACGACGGCCACCTAAAATTTGGTGGACACACTTCATATATAATATAGAATTTCCAAATACAAAGCCAAACATTTTGATATAAGATAACTATAGGTAAATAGTTATTACCATTATCTAACAAGCTGCATGAAATATATATGTGGCCTCAATCAAATTGAATTCATGCATGATATATATTAGCAAATCAATCTAGGTTGTTTGGATAAGATCATTGTGCCGTATGAGTGAATAATTTCTTACCCTAATGAATCTTATAAATTTATTTTTTCAATTAAAAACACTATATTTACTCGTGAATATGAGAATTTACCCCAAAAGTATTACAAATAATTCGTTCAATTTTTGACCTTTCATGAATAAATTCAAACTATCTAATTTTGAGTAAAAAAAACTAACAAACAAACAAAAAACAAAAGTTCTCGTCCAAATCTTCGTACTCATAGAATTAACTGTAAATTTTGCCATCACTAATTTTCATACACGTGATTACCAATTTTCGTAACTTTATTCTAGTTTCTCTCTACTTTCCCGAACAGTAAATATCCGCTGCTAGCGATTCCATTATTCATACTGTGGAGCGGCCTCTCTTCTTCCCGTCTGAATGCCACGTGTTAATATGACACACCAACCTAAGAATTATCTCAAATGCTTAAATATTGTTGTGGTAAATTACAATTCACATCAACATATTTAGTAATATCACAAATTTTCATCCTCCAATGTATAATGTGATCAAAATATTGTGGTGATGTGGACATAGTAATGTCTATATAGAGAATGATGTGGTTCATCTTCGTTCTCCTCCACAATCAAACTAGCCAATTAAGAGAAGAGATATTATGCTTACCATTTTAACTTATTTAATTATTTGATTAATTTTCTTACTTCTAATTAAAATTTTAATATTTCGTAAGTAGTTAATATTTTAGTTAGACTACATTGTGCATTGGAAATGATTTTTTTAATTTAATAATTGTGAACTTAACATTTTTTCTACATGGTTCATAATCTATTTAATTTTTTGACATTTATCAAGATTTATTCTACATTTGTCTTTTTTTTTTCGAAATGATAGAGATATTATATTAATAAAAATTGCACAAAGTGCGAAGAGAACATCCAAAAGTTGAATAGTACAGCTAAAAGCTGAAAAGGCTGGGAGGCAGATCCGAAGATCGCCTAAAGCCTGCTAGCAACGCTAGAATAACAAACTTACAACTACACAAAAGCAACTAACACAAACAAAAACGAAACTACTAAAAAAGATCACAATAGGATAATGCTCAAATGTACGATCCTAGCAG